CTAAACAATATTAAACGACATGAAATATAACATTTGTTTCTTGTTTCAGATAAACGTGTCAAGTGACGTATATTGATTTATACTCCAAATTACACACAGGTACAAACAAGTATGATGCTCATGCAGTGTTTTAACAAAACAATACAATGTAACACCGAGGGTGTTACATGGCCACACCACAAACGTGGTTGGTGTGATCTTGTAAGACTACAAGCCCCTCCGATGACAACAATGGTGCGCGCAAACACCGAGTGGTAAGAGGTATGCAAACCTCACTAAACACTAGGCATAAACCTAGAGCAAACGTATAAGCGGTGGTCTAACTAACCTAAGCACTTCGCAGAGCACCTACGTTAATCACCGAATGTATCACTAAGTACTATGCAAGTGGAGATTACTAAAATTGTGTATCAACACCCTTGGTATGTTTCCTCAGCTCTCCACTCCTCAAATGGCCGGTTGGAGGGTCTATTTATAGCCCCACATGTGAGAACTAGCCGTTGGACCCGAGACCCAACTTTCTATTAGTGACCGGACGCTGATCATGTCCCGATCGGACGCATCCGGTCCTACCGACCGTTGGAGCGCGCGCATTGATCGGACTCTGGTCCGAGTCCGGTCTCACTCGATCGGATGCGTCCGGTCGCGCTGGCGTCGCTCTAGAACCTTTCTGGACATGATCGGACGCTACTTCTTGGTGCGTCCGGTCGTCCTGTCATCGCGTCTAGTCACGCTGAGAACGTTGCCGTTGACGATGAACTGTGAAGTCCGTGCGTTCGGTCACTACCTCGCTCAACGTCCGATCGCTGCTGCTGACGCCTGCTGTTGCTGAGTAACTGATAGGATGCGTCTGGTCCTCATAGGGCCACGTTCGGTCACCTCTGTCGAGCTCATTTCTTCGTGATCTTGCGTCCGGCTTAGTTCCCATCTTCGTGCTTGGACTTTGCTTGATATCTTGGGTCTTCTCTTGTGCTTCTAGGGTCTTGCCTATAGTGTTGATGGTAGAATCATCATGTCGCCTTCATCCAAGTCACGTTTTGCACCCTATTGAACTACAAAAAAATTACTTGTAAATTCATTAGCCCAATTTAATTGTGTTGGTCATCAAACACCAAAATCCAAAGTAAATGAGTTTAGGGTCCATTTTTCTTACAACGTGCTTGCCGGCATGCTAGTACCCATTGTGTCGACCAACACTTGGTGGTTTGGTGGCTAATAGATAATACAAACCTAGCCCACCACAAGAGGCGCTGTAAGAACGTACTCACAAGTGAGGTAGCTCAATGGCACGAGCAATTTACTAGAGTTGCCTTTGGCGCTCCGCCGGGAAAGGCACAAGACCCCTCATAAGTAACCGATCGAGGCCGGAGACAATCACTAACTCCGCTCAATGATCCTCCAATCATCGAGCCATCTAGGTGTCAGCAAACACCAAGAGTAACAAGCTCACAACCAGCCCAAATCACCTAACTAGTGCCACAAGATGATGCAACTCAATACAATGCACTAGAGGCTCTCTAATCTCACTCAAGATGACGAAATCAAGTGAACAAGTGAGTGGAGTGTGTTGCTCAGCTTCCAAAGGCTGTGCACAAGTGTATGAGGTGCCAAGAGAGTGGCCAAGGCCGGCTACACCCTCTATTTATAGCCACACAAGCAAATAGAGCCATTATATCCCTTGAAGCTGTTTCTGTGAGGTCACCGGACATGACAGTGCTTGGCACCGGACATGGCGGTGACCTGCCCAACGGTCGAATTTTAATGGTCACAAACTAGCTGTTGGGGCGTCGGACAGGGTGGCGGTGACCACCCAGCCGTGCCCCCCGATTTCCTTGCTCTCTGGATAAAAGGGGCGGTGCACCAACGCACCCATGGTGGTGACCATGGCGATGCCCCCCTTTGCTTTCGGTGCTCTCGGGTAAAGAGGGACGGTGGCACCGCCCTGCCTATGGCGGTGACCAGGCGGTGCACCTGGCGGTGTACACCGGACATGCCGGTGACTTCCCTCCAACACGCTGCTCTCGGCCACCTCCAGGTGGGCACCACCCTAGGGGTGGCGGTGCCACCGGAATAGTGGCAGTGCCAGCCCTAGCACCAGCGCTTCTCTGCGTCAACCAGCCGGTCACCGGACAGGCTAGGGCGGTGCACCGCCACATACATGGCGGTGATCACCCCGAGGCAAACTCCTTCGTTATCTATGATTTTGTTTCTCGATTTGATCCACAAGCAGTCTAACACTCTTTCCAAGCATTGCTAACCCTCAAAGTGTTTTCTCAAAACATGTTAGAGCCAAGTTAGCATTTCTCAAATCATTTTTCGATAAATATTTTTGCTTGCTCTCCGATGTGCATTAGGCCTAAATGCAATGCATGAAGTCCAACACCTAGTGACACTAGATGACCGAATTATCTAGTTAAGAACCCCCCTTAATAGTACGACCATCTATCCCAAATGTGATCACACTCTCTATAGTGTCTTGATCACAAACAAAATCCCTAATTATACCTTTGTCTTGATCTCCATATGGTTTTGTTTTTCTCTTTCTTCTTTTCCAAGTTGAGCACTTGATCATCATCACATGTGGCCATCTCATCATTTCATGTGATCAACATCACCATTTGAATGCCACCATGCTTCTCACTTGGATTGCACCAACCTAGCTCATATCATCACTCATGACAAAGGTTAGTGCTTAGGTTTCATCAATTATCCAAAATCAAACTAGGGCTTTTAACTGCCCAACCTACTTCGGGCATGTTTGGATCCTTGGGGATTCTAAGAATCCAGATAAAAAAGATCTTGGAATCCTAGAATCTCTTCCAAACAGTTTAGGGGCCTGTTTGAATCCCAAGGGATTCTAAAAAACTGGATTTTGCAATACCGATTTTATTATCTGGTTTCTAGATAGTAAGAATCTAGCATGTTTGGATCTTTGGATTTTGCCTTGAGATTGTAGATAGTTGAAGGGGTTCATTGCCCATAATGCCCTCAATATTGCAATCAATTAAAAAATAAAATAATTCTGGTTGTACCTGCTATAGGGGCAAGAAAGTCTTTTACCAATCTAGTAATCTAGTTTCTCCTATTATCTGGTTGTAGCTGGATAGTGGCTGTGGGATTTTCATTATCTATCCCGTTTGGAGACAGTATGGATTTTTTAATCCAGTTTGCAGAATCCTAAGGGCATTCAGACAGGCCCTAGGATTTTAGTAGATTTTATCTCACAAGCACGAAATCCAATAAAATCTCAAGGGATCCAAATGGTACCTTCGATTTCTCTTTCCCTTAAGCTGGCATGCCGCTCCCTCCGCTTTTCGCACAAACGTCGCTCCTTTCTGAGTTTCTGCCACTACGCTCCAGAGGGCCTGTTTGGCCGGACTAGTTCTGTGCTAAAGTGTCCAAGGAGCTGAAACCGGAGGAGCAAAAATAGTGGTTTCTTTTTACACGTGTTCTCGCCCTCGAGTCATGATAGCACATCACGAGGTGTATTGTAATCGGGTCTTGGGCGAGCGTGTCACTTATCGAGCCAGAGTTGCGATTCATCTCATTTAGCACTAGGAGATTGAGTGTTAGCCACTTGCAGCTATCAATTTGACTGAAAGTTAGTCACTTCATGCATCTCCATACTATCACTTTGAACTTTTGAAGCTAAATGCCTTAGACCCCCTTAATAGTATGTTCACAGTGAAACAAAGACTTATTACACACTAATTAAAGAATGTGATTAACACCAAGTCTTTTGGTAATCCTTTTGCCATACATGATAAACACCAAATCTTGAAACCAAGTCATGTGTGGCCATTCTCAATAATGTGATTAACTCAAATGCAATTATCCCCAAGAAGATATATGTTAGTCATACATATTTATGCTCTATCAATCACCAAAACCTATTTATTCCACATTAGGGCCTAGATGCGATCAGGCTCCTGTTACTGTAGCTCCTCAACGAGATAGACATGCTCAGTGGTGCGTAGCGCGAGAAAGGCCTACCCTTGTACCTAGATGACATCCAATCCTCATCCTCTGCGTCGGCAATGGTCCATCGACCCATGCCTCTCTCCATCGAGAGCTATCACGATAGGATAAGATGGAAAGATATTTTTCTTTTTAATTTTATATTGCCGATCTATAGCGGCATGGACTGCTCTAGGATGTATTTAGAGCTCCGACTTTAGCTAAAACTGCTCTGGAATAACTTTCTTTGGCTCTAAGTAACTACTCTAAAAGAACATTTAGTAAAATAGCTTCTAATGTTGGATTTTAAAAAAAATGAATATTCATGATACTCTTTATGTTTTTTCCTCTTTTTGTTCTTTATTAGTAAAAAATGCTTCTCATGTTAGACGAAAGTGAGATGTATCATTCTGTCTCTGATTTTAGAAACGAGACAACATTACCTTAGTAAGTTTTGGTTAAGAGGACATGCTCATCCTATATATTTTTTTTTGGTTTGGTTAAGTGAATTGAAAGTACGGGATGAGGATGATAATTCTTAACGCCGTTAACTAGAAGTCATCTTGTAGGGCTGTAGGCCCACCGTCCTTTAATCGACCCCACCTGTCATCCTTAGTTTCTTTATAGGAGTATAATTTTCCGTTGCTCTCTCCTTTTCGTCGTCCCCTTCCCAGAGCCCGCCTGCACGGTGACCCCCTCGGCTCCTCCCCCTCACCGGCGCCCCCTCCCTAGCTGCCTCCGCCCAGCCGCCTCCTCCTGAGCCCTCTCCGCTCAGCCGCCCCCTCCCCGGAGACCCTCTTCCGGAGCTGCCACCGCCCGGCTGCCCCCTCCCCAGTGCGCCACCCGTCTGCACACCGCCGCCTGGCCAGTCGCCTGCACACCGACGCCCTCGCCGAGCCGCCTGCACATCGGCGCCTGGAGGACGAGAAGCGCGGAAGACGACCCCAGCCTCGCCTGGAAAACGCATCCAAAGACTTCAACCTCCCTTTCCGGCCGGAGATCCGCCTCGCATCTCCGCGACAGATCCGGGCAAACGGCGGCCGATGCAGTTCTTTGGCGGCTCGTCGCTGACGTCGGTCGCGCCGGAGGTGACCCCAGCCCCGGCGGCGCCCCCCGGCACGGGCACGGGCGCCAGCGCGCAGGTCCTCTACGTCTTCAACCGCAACGGCGTCTGCCTGCTCTACCGCGAGTGGCACCGCCCGCTCCGCACGCTCGACCCCACCCAGGACCACAAGCTCATGTTCGGACTCCTCTTCTCCCTTCGCTCCTTCACCGCCAAGATCGACCCAACCACGTACGTCCTGCTTCTCGATCTTCTAGCACTCCTCGTGTGAGCGGTTATCTATTGAGGCGGCCATTAGTCGGAAATAATTTCGCATCAATCCTGCATCTGGCCAATGTATCTGTTAGAAACTAGACTAGAAAGGCAGGTGCGACCTTGCCCCGCCAAAGCTAGATTGGGCCAGTTTTGGTCAGCCCACACATTTAGGTTTTGGTACACTTAGTATGTATGATGGCCTAGTACTGTTTCTGCAGAGCACGGTAGTCCTGCCAAATCACATATACCAAATGGCTGAATATTTAGAGAGGCAGCTCTAACTTTTGTGTGATCTGATAGTTCATAGTTCAGTTTGAAAGCAGAGAAAACTCACAATGGTTTTATGGAATATGGTCAGAAAATAAAAATATTCTATATCTTAGCATAAACATTGAACAGCATGACATCCACAGCAGAAGCCCATAAGGCATACTGATAAATTAATTGATGATACAAATGGGTAAAGTAGTAAGTAAACTATCTGCATTTCTTACCTAATGCCAACAACTCTTGGATTCATCCTCCAAGGACGTCTTGATGTACTTTTGAAAATTGATGTACTTCCAAAATTGAAACTAGTCCCTAGAAATAAATGAGCATATAAAATGAATTTTCAGCAGCCTAAACTGATAGCATGAGGTTAGTTGTGAATCAGAAATTACTTGCAAAAATGAGCCCGTATATATAAAATACTTTTTTAGCAGTCTAAACTGATAGCATGAGGTTACTTGTGAAGCAGAAACTACATACAAAAATGAATCCGTGTCACAAAGTAACGCAGTCTATCCTCCGAACAAATCCTTGTTGAAGCACGCTGACGGGTCGACCTCCTTGCCAGACACGACAGTTCGACGGTGGAGGGGCTAGAGGAAGAGACCGAGCGGCAGATAGGTCATGGCGTTCCAAACGACCATTTCATCGGACACTATGGGGGCGTCTGTTGAGCATTTGCAGCTCCAGCCCACCATCAGCGCCATGCCAGTACCCCCCTGCGGCACATCTGCGCTTCATATCCTCCTTGTGCCATGTGCCTGCGCCACCCATGAATGATCTGCTCCTCCTCATGCTGCGCCGTCGCTGCCTCCGCCTCCACTCTGTGTAGGTAGGGGAGAGGGACAGGAAAGGAGCAGCGGTGAGGGTGATGCTGCGCTAGGGAGAGAAGGCAGGGGGAGCGTGTGGCAGCGCGGCGATGGGTTCAATGTAGCCGCTGAGTCTCCACCCAGGGGTTGCTTTGTCCTTGCTCATCCAGCCCAGCAGCTCGCTGTGGCTTCCTTGCCTAGGAGGAGGCGACCTCCTTGCCCCGCACCTCAGCCATGCAGGAGAGGAGGGCAGGCGCGATGGAGGTGGTGATTTAGTGGCAGGAGACAGAGGACTAGTGCTGGAGGCCTGCAAGGTTGGGATCAACAGTGATTGCGTCTGTTCAGCACCCCAGCAGAGGGGAAGAGCAGGGGACGTCAGAGGGTAGTCGGAGGAGAGAGATGGGCATGGCAGCAGGAGCAGAGGCGGAAGAATTGTGCAGGTTCATGATGATTCGTGAGCGCATGAGTTTACGGATTAATGGGCGATAGACCTGCTATGACCCAGATCGAATGGTCTACATCGTGTCCTTGCCAGATCTGACGGTTAGCAGGCGACGTGGATTGATTCTCTGCCCGAAGCTTGGTTCTTGAGTAGTATTATAGAGATGAGTAAGAGTTCCATCATCACTTCATCAGTCCCAAGTAGTCGTTCACAGCATGATGAATTTGGAGAAGATTTCATGCTCTTTTGTAGTAGAAGAATTTAGCGGAGAAAATGGAAGAAGAGAGCTGGAAAAGGTAACCGAGGTTTATCCTTGTAATACAACAAGTATCTCCATCTCTTATGAACATTGCTAAAGGGACAGGCTGGTGCTTTCTTGCCAGCTACCTGTGTATATATAGACTTTCTGGTTAGTTTACATGAGCTTGTAACAATTTAAAGGGTTGGGGTTTGATGGTTCGACACAGTAATTACTGGAGTGTTAACATGATATGACAGAAGGTACAAAAATGGATGGAAATTGATCAATTGCTCAAATGTTAAGCCACTGATGTTTCGCTTGGATTCGCAAACAGCTTGATGTTTTTTGTATTTTCACACCAGTTGCATTAGTTTTGTATTATATATTTTTTCCAATCTGTGCATTGCTCGATTGATAACAGGGTTATTGTAAAAGACAATCATTTAACACTTACAAATAACTGGAGAACCTAGACCGTGTAGCAAGTGACAAATGTTGAGTCTCTAAGATGCTTAATTCTCTTATTTTCCTTTTGACCCTTTTCACATATCAAATGCAGGGCTGAAAAGGGAAACCTTGGCGTGCCACTACTGCCAGGCCAAGGTTGTTCGTTTTATAGCTTCAAGACAAACACATACAAACTGAACTTCATGGAGAGCCCTTCTGGTATAAAGGTTAGTATTGCCTATGTTCTTGCCCTGCTGCCTTAACTAATTTGGATATTTGGATCATCTTGTTAAGATCAAAGTTTCTTTTTATGTATTCCAACATTCATTTGTGTTTGGGGCAGATGAATTTGATTGGTTACAGTGACTTGCAGCAGAAATAAATATTGCTTTAGATGCTATCGAACTACCAGATCGTTTCGCCATTGATTTAATAATTTGCCTGGTATGACCAATGGGTTGTACCTTTGTATTGTGAGGAACGATGGGGGCAGCATGGAGAGGGTGGTTTTATGAGCATGATGAGAGCTTAGGGTTTGGTGGTCCCATGAAAGAATCGAAGAAGTATTGACAAGTATCAGAACTATTTTTTATTTAAAAATGCCGAAATATCTGATGCTTGTCCGACGAGTATCAGAGTATTGATAGCCAATACGTGATCACTCTTAAGTATGTGAGCATCACAGGTTTTAGGACACTGGATACCATGGCTTGTAGTCTACCTCCGTGCGTGCTGACTATTTTCATTTAATTGTCATCCATAATGTCTTAGTCCTGTCAGCATCCTTCTATCAGGAAAGCTGTTGATGTGATATATTCTTACACTAGATTACGCTTTCTCCTTTGAAAAGGTAAATCCATTTCCCTTCCATTTGTATACTAAATATATGGTGTTGCATTTTCACTTTTAGTATGAAAGACATCTGTTCAATCTTTGTTTTTCTGCAGCGCTGTACCAATTGAATGTTCTTTGTAATTTGGTCATTTCTTTTAGCATAGTAGTGATCGAGCAGATAGATGTTCAATATTCCTTTCTCCATTGCTATACTCTATGACTTACTCTAGTACTCTACCCTCTTGGTGTAGCTTATACTAATTACACATCCAAGGACTGGTGATCAGCGAGACTCGCTAAAGCATATCTACAACCTATATGTGGAATATGTTGTAAAAAATCCTCTGTACGCTCCTGGAACACCAATCAAGTAAGTTTCGCTGGTTTAATGGAAATCTGTTTTTACTGCATGTTTAGCTATAATATTGTTGTTTTTGCTAACATTATAACTTTTAGAAGGATGGGATTCTTTTTTTTAGACTATTTGTGGAAGGGCATGATTTGTTCCAGAATTCATATTTGAGCATTTGACCTAAGTAATGAGCAGACGTTAGACAGATATAAGTGCGTAACTTATTTGGGAGGCATATTGATGCTGCAAGTAAGATAACATGATAGATGTAGCCAGCAGCAGGTGTTAGATCTTTGGGAAAATTGGTTTCATTGCACCGAAAGAATGCGAGATCAGGAAAATACCATCGAAAGTTCATCGCACTGTAAAATACCATCAAAAGTGAGTATCTGTTCCGCAATCTAGCACTCTGTTACTTTTGCTGTTAATGTCGTTTGTTGTCACCGTCCGAGCCTTCGTTTCACTAAAAAATGAGCAGGAACCATGGGAGGACGTGGAGAACAACCTGTAGACTGCATCAACCTGGGCAGGCCTGCAGTGGTAGAGCAAGAACATGCCCATAGGCCTGCTGCTGCTGAATGGTGTGACAAGGGCTGCTCGGGCTGTGGCTTCATGCGGCAGCTAGTCCGTACTCGCCCTGCCGTTGGCAATGAGGATCCTGGAAGCGTTCAGCGGCATCACGCAGGCCTGGCAGACGGCGAGCACCTCGCCGCCCTCAGCGCCGCTGGTGCTGCAGATTGCACTGGAGCCCGGAGCCGGAGATGATGTCGCACTGGCAGCTCTTCTTGCGCGCGCCGGCGCCGGGCATGGTGCTATTGTAGACCAGGCTGCCGGCTGCCGAAGCGCGCGGTCGCCCTTCCCGCAGCACGCGATGGGGTAGTTGCTCTTGAGGATGCCGCACACCGCGTCGCGTCGGCCTCGATGGCCAGGAAATCCGTGTTCCTGTACTAGTCCGGCACCCGGCGCCCCAGCCGCCCAGCACTGGACCCGGCCGCTGCCCGAGAAGATGCAGGTGGCGTCGTTGCCGAGCGCCATGGTCAGCATGTCGCCCGACAGCTTGTGCGTCGGTACCTCGGGGACGGCGCCGTCGCCCCAGCAGGCGAAGCTGCCCTCCGCGTCAACGGCGCAGGCGTGGCGGTGGCCGGTGGCGACGTTCTTGAAGGCCGCGGGCGTGGGCGTGAGCGACGGCGCCGAAGCAGCTCATGCTGGTCTTGCCGAGCTTGCTGATGCCGCAGAGGAAGTCATGGCCCAGTGCGATGCGGGAGAAGTCGAGGGCCTCGAGGCCTTTTGGGAGGTCGAGCCGTCGAGGTGCGGCCACTCCCAGCAGGTGGGGCCGTGGTCGTCGGAGAGGCCGCAAACGTGGCAGCCACCGGCGTTGAGCGAGCGGGGCGAGGGGCCAGTAGAGGCAGCGGCCGACGGGGCGGGAGCAGTTGGCGGCGAACTCCTCGGAGAAAGACCACCAGCGCATGGCAGCGTGTCCGCCGAGCGGGGCGTGAGGCCGCACAGGAAGTCAGTCCCGGCCGTGATGGCATGTTGGCAGAGGGATAGACGAACTGCTCGCCGTCGGGGAGCGAGGTGAAGTGCAGCTTGGAGCCTCGGACCGACTCCAACAAACGACGTTAACGGCGAAAGTAACAGAGTGCTAGATTGCGGAACGGATGCTCACTTTCAATGGTATTTTACGGTGCGATGAACTTTCGATGATATTTTCCGGATCTCACGTTCTTTAGGTGCTATGAGACCAATTTTCCCTAGATCTTTTCACATCTAGTAGTCTTTAGTCTCCCAAACATACTGAAACTTGTGAAATCTAAGCTTAAAAATTCAAATTGTGATAGTGGCACTCAGTGATACTGTTTACTGCTCTTTCTTTAATTCACATGATTGTTCATGAATTTGTCGTTTTCAGATATCATGATTGTTTTGAGCATGTTCAACTGAGTTATTGATAAGCTATAGCCTAATTCTCACTGTTCCATAACTCGTAGTGTTCTTTGTAGTTGAGGATAACAGTCTTGTAGTGGATATAAACGCTGAATATCATTAATTTTGGGAATTGCGATGATACCCAGTTACCCATACACAACCAGTATTTCTTGTTTCATTCCTACTGGCCACATTGTTTCTTCTTGATCTCAATTCACTAATTTCCTGAGCATCTCTTATTTGCAGGTGCGAACTTTTCAATAAACATCTCGATCAATACGTGAGAACATTAATTTGATGTCATTGAGGTAATTTCTATCCTTGATGTTTCTTACAGCGCCTCAAATAGTAGTTCTTTGAATGCATATGTATTTTGCATCAATGTTTGACAATCTTTTTATGTGATTATATACTTGGGGGTCTTTGCTCATTCCCATTTGTTTCGTTTGAACCTTTTGTAAAGTTCTATTGAGTTGACAAAAAAATCCTGACTAAAAATATTTCAGATGCTTTTATTATGTTTCCTTTTATCATCTGGAAACCGAGTTTTACTTGCTCCTAAGGATCTGTCAATAATTTAGGCCATGTTTATCAGAGCTTCTGGCTAAGGGGCTACTTCTGGCCATTTTTGGACTGCTAGCTTTTGGAAGGTGCAGCCTTTTGGCTTCTGGGACTGGGAGCTTCTACCTTTTGGACAAAAGCTAGCAGTCCAAAAGTGGCTAGAAGCTCAAACTAAACATGTTGGCGGGGTATTCTATTTTTGTTACTATGTCAGAGAGCCATCAAGAGTGAAACATAGTATTTGCTATGCTAAGATGTCTAGGCGTGCATTCCCCTTTGTCCTGGTTATTCAACTCCGTATTGTGTTCCAGTTTCACACAATGCGGTCATACTGTTTGTCTGTTTGTCTAGAACTGGCACAACCGAGAAGGCAGGCTGCATGGTAGCTGCCTATATACATATACATATTTCTTTCACACACTTATCACTGCTGAAATGTTTCGTTGCAGGCTATGGGTTGGTGAGGCATTAGGGGAAAAAAGGACCATTTCATGATGTCACCATTTCGTGGAAGCGCCGTCTCAGACTCTCAGGGGTGGTAGACTTTTCTGGTGGAAAAAATGTTTTATTCTCATTGTGCTTGCACAGCCGCACCATGGTGCAAAGCTGTTGTCTTCTTGTGTACTGACAAAAATTTGATAGCTCTACTGTGACAACAGCAGTTTGTTTGATCACGACGGATGCACTCGACAGGGAAACTGCATTGTCTCTTCTAATGTGATAAATCTCCATATATATGGTTAATCCACGAGTTATTGCGACACTGTTCAAGGGGTTCCTCGTCAATTAATTATCAGAAGATGACTAGACTGAAGATTAACTTGAAACAGCATATTTTCTGCTTGAGACATTACAGCTTTAAGGCGTAGTAGCCTAGTCTAAAATTTAGCTCTAAACAGCATATTTTCTGCTGGAGACATTACAGCTTTAAGGCGTAGTAGCCTAGTCAGCATATTTTATGTTTGGATTCTTTTCTCTAAACTTCAGAGCTCTAAATTTTAGAGCTAAAGTCTCTAAACAAGTAGTCTAAAGTTGAGCTCTAAACTTTAACCCACCTCACATTAGAGCTTTATATCTCAAAACTGAGCTAATATGGGCAGGGGATCATACAGTATGAACAACTCTGGCGTTGCGTTGGGTTTAGGTGATCAAGTTCTGGACCTAATATTGTGTAATTGCGGACGCGGTCAAAGCTTCTGGCTACACTATTTTGACTTAGTCAGATGATCTTTACGGACTGTTTCTGTGTTCTTCGCTTATGGATCACTTCATAATAAGGATATTTTTCTTTGGTCCTCTAGTTACTTAATGCAAGGGAGTGGATTAAGTATGCTTTTCACTCAACACTTCGTAAGGGTATTATTTTCCCCCCAAAATCTTATAATTAGACTAGCTAGTGACAGTGCATTGCATCATGCACATTAAATAAGTGCCATGTAAAACTTGAAAACAGAGAATAAAGCAGAATCCTTGTTAGAGAATATTCCTCAGTCAAATTATAAAATGTTTTAGCTTTTCTCAATACATTACTTTTACAGTGTATCTAGACAATATATATCTAAGTGCATAACAAAAAAACCATAAATGTAAAAAAAAAAACTAAAATGTCATATAATTTGGAACGGAGATAGTACAATTTGGGCTCGATATACAAAACTAGAAAACCATGCTCATATTTTAGGTCCACCTCATAGTCATATTCTCGTACTATTTTGTCTACTTGTTACAACGTTTTTACCTAGCAAATTTCACCGAGCGCTTTTTTCTACATAAAAGTTTTAGGGTTACACTAATATAGTTATTTTGTATATGACTATTTTGTAGAAAAAATGAATGGTCAAAGGTGCTACACTAAATTTCTGGTGATAAGCAAACCCAGATAGGGGGAAGTAATATAGTAAATATGAAGATTAGTTAGCAGGCAGTAACTTTTTTTTCCTCGAATACGCAAGTGCATTGCGTATCAAGTATTAAGAAGAAAGAAGTTATATGTTACAAGAATGACGTTGCCGGCCGCGGAGTTTCTCCTTGGGGCTACATCTTGACTGGAACAACCTTTGCGGTTATGCGATGCTTATGAAGTCCCCCATGCGCCAGCTTCAATCCACCGTTCAGCTTTAGCCTTGATGAGTTGAATCAGGTCGATCATCGTGGATGGGCGGATGGCGTCGCTCGGAAGCACCGTGTGTTTCGCTCCTTCTAAATTTGCCAAGAGTCGAACGCGAACAAGGAGTCCATACCTGCACGCTGATCTCCATCCCAGAGCGAGCTTTGCCAAGAGGCAGCAGGTTTGAACTTTGGAGATCACGAAAAATCTGGACCATTTCGTTTAAAAAAATTAAGAGCGCAACTTATGAAACACATGGAGGCCATCGCACAATGTTTGTCAGAAAGTGTATTACTTTCCGCTTTGTTTTGGAAAGTAAGACTTTTCTTTTTCTCTTATCACTCGAAGCACGATAATCATTAATTTTGACATGCCAGTTGCCAGCGACGCACTCGCCACAATCATCGGAAGGACCAAGTATTTGGCGCGTCCATCATCCGTGCGTGCACCCATTTCAGCCATTTCTTGACCAATTTGACGTCTACTGCACGCTGTTGTTTGGCAGAAATCTCCGCGCACATGCAACTGCAAATGTTCAAGCAATTCTGGATAAACTTTAGAGTCATCAGATGCAATAACTTCAGCGTAGAAGTCTTGTACACTCGTGCTGATTCGTCAACATGCATGTGTGGAAATTCAACGTGCCCGCGGCGAACAGTTCATTTAATTTCAACATTGTCCCATATTTTCTATCTTGTAATTTGACTTCATTCCTGGAAGAAGCGACATATTACAATTTCAACTACTAGATGGTAAAGTACATTTTTTTACCTCCAACTTACAGAGTAGTCCAATTTTGAATTTTAAACTATGAAATCGGGTAACATACCGATAAATTTGATCCTCTGGCCAGCTTCAAAACATGGTTTTCTATTTTCTAACAACAATAATAATAGAAATAAGGTTTGATCTCTAGAAATTAATAATTAATTTATTTTAAATCATAAAAATGAAAGTAGTTCCAGTTTCTTCTAAAAATGTCATCTATATGTTGATGCTATATTTAGAGTTATTCATATCTTGTTTTAAATAAACAATGAGTGCAACTACGATCAATAAAGCAATAGGAATAGAAATAAACCAGTTCTAAGTACATGTATATAGATCACAAACAAGTAGTGAGCATTTTTAGAAATAATTGGTACTAGTTCATATTTTTCTGATTTAAAATAAATTAATTAATTTTGAATTTTGAGATAGTATATAAGATTTTTATTATTTAAAAAAAAGAAAACCACCTTTAAAACTGGAGGACCAAATTTATCTGGTTTTCATAATTGTAGGGTGTTTTTTTTACCCAGTTTTGTAGTTTAAGGTTGAAAATTAGACTACCACACAAGTTTGAGGGTGAAAATTTTACTTTACCCACTACTGTATGTTCCATAGCCTAGATCGTTTTAGTTTTGTTCTAAATCAAACTTTTATAACTTTAACTAAATTATATATACTCCAACATCTGCAGCATCGAATTAGTTTCTTTAAATCCATCATAACATATGTCTTGATGATAGTGCATTTATTAGGTATCATGGATGTTAGTATAATTCTTTATAAACTTAGTCAAACTGCAGAGAAGCTCCTTAGTTTGTACTTGGAACTGTTTTCTTTTTTTAATAAAGTGCAGTAGGGGCTCAAGCCCCTCCTGTTTTCATAAAAAAAAAAACCTGCAGAGAAGCTTGACTTGGAACATTTTGGAACGAATGGGTATTGCAGAAATCCAATAATAATTTCGTCTATTAAGTACAGAATGCAAGATTTCTTTACATGAGCTGTTGTGCAAATGAATCATGCATGAAGGAGCGAGCAGTATACTAGTCGCTACTTACTCGACATGCATTATTGTCGAAAAACCAAGCAGTAATGGACGTAATATCGATCGACAAAATCCACATCGAGTTTGGCAGTGTAAATTGGATCCAGTGCATAACTATAATTTCCAATGCCATACGTATAGTACTACTATTTAACAGTTGCAGACGAGCGTATGTATGCCAGGAAGACAAAGCTACGACGATTCGGATTATCCAATCAAGCTGCCTTGCCAAACTCGTGGAAGCTTAGAAACTCGGCGAGAAAATTCTAGCACGCAAATGTTGAATTCTTCCAGTTCATGCACACCGCCACAGCTATATATAGACTCATCCGTTCCCTCCACTATGCATCACTGCAACATACAAACTAGACAGTTGGAGGGGAATCGGAGCAGCAGACAGAGAAACAATGGCTTCTTCCGTCCTCCACGTCCTCCCGCTCGTCCTTGTCCTCCTCGCTGCCGCTGCCGACGCGGCCACCTTCACCGTAACCAACAACTGCCCGTACACCGTGTGGGCGGCGGCGGTGCCGGGCGGCGGGCAGCAGCTGGACAACGGGCAGACGTGGAGCATCGACGTGCCGGCGGGCACCACGGGCGGCCGCGTGTGGGCGCGCACGGGCTGCTCCTTCGACGGCAGCGGCAACGGGCGGTGCCAGACGGGCGACTGCGGCGGCGTGCTGCAGTGCACGCAGTACGGGCAGCCGCCCAACACGCTGGCCGAGTACGGGCTGAACCAGTTCCTGTTAGCGACCCATACTATACTTAGTTAGCACGTTCCTTGGCTCTCCTTAAGTGTAGCTATTGTTAGTTATCTGACTGCCGTGATGTACATGTATAAGAGGCGTAAGCCCTGATCAATACAACTGAGTTGTCTGCATTCTTTCTATTCAGTTCTTACATGGTATCAGCCGTTCCACGATCCTAACTCTCCGCTGCCTCAACCTCCCACCCCGACGCCATGAGTTCATCCTCGTCCTCATCGTCGTCGGCCTCCGACAACTCCGACGCCGGGTCTGGCCTTCCTCAAGGGCTCGACTTCTTCGACATCTCCCTGGTGGACGGCTTCAACGTGCCCCTGGACTTCCTCCCCGCCGGCGACGGCTCCGGGTGCCCCAAGGGCGGGCCGCGGTGCGACGCCGACGTCACGTCGCAGTGCCCCGCCGCGCTGCAGGCCCCCGGCGGCTGCGACAACCCTTGCACCGTGTTCAAGACCGACGAGTACTGCTGCACCGGCTCGGCGGCGAACAGCTGCGGGCCCACCGACTACTCCAGGTTCTTCAAGGGGCTGTGCCCGGACGCCTACAGCTACCCCAAGGACGACGCCACCAGCACCTACACTTGCCCCGGCGGCACCAACTACAACGTCGTCTTCTGCCCATAAGCGTGAGCTCGATCGAGCTGAACGTACCTAGTTGACCCACTAGACGTGAAAAATAAATAAACTAGCACAAATGAATAACTTGTGCAAGAACAATTGATACACCATGGTCCACGTAGCATGACATGGTATGTACACTTACTACACGCGAGTACGTCGGACATTTCTATGTACCCTTTATTTCCATTGTTCTAGCTAGTTTCCACGTCAGCATTTCTTGGTGTTGTGGTGTAGTGTACATTGCGTACGATAAAACCTGTACGTGTTTCTAGGCGTGCTTCGAACCATTTTCAAACTCGGCTTGCTTGCAAGATGAAGCAAGGGAAGCTTCTAATAGTCGTCTCTTTGATTCCCTTGCCTTCTCTTCAATTATTCCCTCTGTTTTTCCATTCGAAGCAGGGAGGGTTGTCCTTGTCCACAGAAGACCTCGATCTCGTGGTGACGACGTTGATCAGGTGTATGGAGCAATATATTTATATTTTATATAGTCCAATATAAAAGGCACAATCAATTTATAACATAACATACTAATTAGAGGTCGTTTGGCACGGCGTCTGCTCTAGCTTCTTGTGGCTCTTACCACATAGCCGTGCTAAATGCTGCACCTGAAAATAGCTCTTACGAAGAAATCCAGAGGAGTCGAAGTCATTTTTCTACTAAAGAGTCGGAGCTGCGAAAACGTGACCTCTCAAGACTCCTTTCTCACAATCTTGATATAAATCATAACAAAACTACAGGTGAACCATTTTTTGTAAATGTCTTTCGAAACCGCTACCACAAAATGTGCCAAAGCTGGTGGAGCTTTACCAAATTGACCCTAAATTTTGGTGCTACCTCCTCACTACCGGAGACCGGCTCTTTGCCGAGTGTCAAGTGGTTTGCCGAGTGTTATTTTTCGGGCACTCGGCAAAGACGTCTTTGCCGAGTGTTTTTTTTACACTCGGCAAAGAAGCTCTTTGCCGAGTGTTTTTTTTTCTAGCACAAAACTTGTTGGTCTGACCTTAAAAATAAAAAATGTCCGGTAGTGCCTGTCACAAAACTTGTTGGTCTGACCTTAAAAATAAAAAATGTCAATAACTATTTTTGTTTATTCTAGCAGGATTCGTTTATATGTGTGGATTCGTGTTAAACAATACTTGGAACAGACCAAGAGAAACCAGCTAAATGATAATTTCAATTTATATTAGGTAGGAGAAACTAGCTAACGACTAATTAATTTTTAGATAGGACAAAAAGAAGAGTCTAATAAGCATGTCTATTTTATGGATTTTTTTATCTAATCAAAAGGAACACGTATATGTCGTTCCTCTAAGCTAGCAAGTAACAAAGAGGGGAGGGTCTTCACAAAGTTTGGGTGGTGTTTCCGGAATCGAATTGAAGCGTAGCTTTTTGTTCTTTTCTAGTTGTTGGTTGCTCGTCCTTGTTGGGCTGAACTCTATTGCTTGCTTTCTTTCATCTCCTAGTTGTGAGAACTTAAGCCTTATTGCTTTGTTTTGTGTTTGACACTCAGCTGTGTAACATCTTCGGATGGTAGAGGCTAGAACTTTGTTCCATTATTAAAAAAAGAAAGAGGAGAGGAAGGGAGAGTGATAGCAGAAAGAGAGGAGATGAGGGATGGAGAGTGGAGAGGACAATGGAGAAAGGGAGAAAGAGAGGAAATGAGGGATGGAGAGGACAATGGAGAAAGGGAGATGGACAGATAAGTGTGTGTGTGTGGTGGTGGTGGTGGTGGTGGGGGGGTGGGGGAGGAAGAGGAGAAGTGGACATTAAAAGAACAAGTTTATTTTTTCTTGGATGCAGAAGATATTAATATAACTTAGTTGATAGACCAATTAGTGAGATTATGGAAGATCTCTTGTTGTTTATAACTTTATATATGTATAAACTTAAGTTGGAACGAGAGAGAAATGCGAGAGAGAGAAAAAAGGTGGCAAAAAAAAAGAGAGTAGGAGATGGGAAGGCATGGATGCAAACTATCCATTCAACTTAACTAATTAATTTGATGGAGAGGGGAGAGGATGTGACGGATGAAGCGGGGGATACCAGTGATTCAGCATGGATAGGGATATCCAGATTTCAAGAGTTTGTGCATACTTGCTTTCAAGCAAATCCCATATGGGATATGGGGATATCCGGCATCCAACCGACTTTGACCAGACAAGTCAAGGCTGCAGCAAAATCTCTGTGCATATCCTCTGCTCTAGCTGGGATTAGATTGTTAGAATATCATCACAGGCCTAAACCACGGTCTTGACATTAGGAGATCATCCATGCGTGCACGCGATACTTCCCCTTGAGCCCGGTCAGTGGACGCGGAATAAAATGGTCAGCTCGACCGCACCGCACCGGCCGGGAGACCCAGCCCCCGCTCGCGATTTGCGTCTTCAACGCCGCTACGGCCTGCGGTCCGCCGCCGCCTGGCTCAGTGGAACGGCAACAGCTTGTGGAAACTGTGGAAGCGCTTGCTAAGCGCACTGAAGGCCGCAGCTACGAAGTCAGCCTCACCCACAGAAATGAAATGATTCGCCCACCGCGGCCTGTTTCGTTTTGGTGCCTACGGAGCCCATCAAGGCTCGAAGGTTCACATAAACAGGCTGTTCGTTTCGGCTGAATTGGCTTATAAACCATGGCTGAAAATACGGCGGGCTGATTTAGTGTGAGAGAAAAATACTATTTAAGTTGTGGATTATAAGCCAGATATGATCAAATAAGCCAAAACGAACAGGACCAAAACCAGGAAGTGGAATTACATAATAATAAGTCATAAACGGAATTTAGTTTTTCCAAACAGAAATGGAATTTAATACATGCTATCTCTGTGAGCACCTCCAAAAATACGAGCACTCGTACCAAATCAATTGACTTTTGAACCAGATAGACAACTTTCACAACAAACAATCTAACCAGTTAAGCTAAGCTCAGTTCACTGAAGCTAAAAACTGCTCCAGCTCATATTATGCAGTTTCTAACACACTCGCTACGCCCTTAACCCCGCCACAAGGAGAAAACAAAATAGCTTACAGTTCTTTTAAATTTCGGCCTCTGCATGAGATTTGCACACAACCAATTCTTATTACAGTTTCAACCATCAATTGTTTATATAAAGCTCACAAAAGCGAAACCAAACGAGAGAACGCCTAACTAAGCTCTAATCCTTTTAAAATTCGACTATCCACGAAGATCTCCAGAGTTAAAGTCTCTAACGTGTAACATGCCCACTTCACAAGTGATCTGTTACTCTCCTTTTGTAGGATGTTCCAAATTCAATTAGTTATGCTGAAGATAACCTGCAAGTATGAGTACAATCTGTTTTTTCTTCTTCCAGAAGTCACATAATTTCTATGAACTTAGGACTACAACTAAAAGAACGTCACAGAAACAAAATCCACTTTCTAGTCTAGAAGAAGAAAAAACAATGGAAGAGGGCACTTATAGCTATTTCTGTTTTTGGCAGTTTGGCACATGAACCTGTTTATCAGATCACATGTATTCAGGATATGTGGCAACGTGATACAATATCCGTTCCAATCAACAGAAGATATGGCCTCCTTTGAGTCTTTGACCTCCTCTCTTCGGTTCGAAATATATAATCCAGACTTTCCTAATTTGTGGTTTTTGTATGATTCAAGTAAAGAGGCTAACAAAATAGTGTAATAGTGGCATTGTCCCTTTGACCTTCTCTCTGGGGTCTGAGATGATTCGAAACGTGGCCTTTATTACATCGGCGCTACTAGCACCCAGATGTCCGGCACCTAGCTGCGTCCGGACGTAGGTCCTAGACATCCGATTCGACCAAACCGTTAGATCCCGCTTCTTCCTCTTCACACGTTTCGGTCCGCACCAAAGAGCACGAGCAGGACACCGCACCCTCATCTCCGTGGCACCACGTACCCCACCACGCCCCTATCCCCGTCCGTCCTAGAGGTCATATTTTCTCATTGGGTTTCCTCAATATAATCTCGTACAACATAAAGAATATCATACTGCAACATCTCAAACAGTAGAAATGCAACGTCACAAAATCAACCATGAAACATGAAAATGGAAACATCTCAAATCACCTTTCAGTGCTGCAACATTTGAAAAAGGTAATTTCAACAATTAAATCCGCTTGCCACAACACGTAGAAAAAGTTAAAACTCACAAGTTACAATATTAAAGGAAAAATACAATCCTAACATTACAACTCTCTTTCTGTAACACATGAATCACCTATTGCAATATTCGAAATCATCTGTTGCAACATCCTAAAAATCCCCTTGCAACACGAAGAAACAGTAAACACAAACATTATAAATCAGATACTGCAACATCATCGGACATATAGGCTAGGACATACAACAACAAGGGGATGGGTTTGAGGCATAGAAAAAAATAGCGGGCTATAGCGTCACTATAGTGGCCGGAGAGACTCAACGCTAAGCTATTTCTATTTGTGCCGCTATGCCAACTTTAACTGCTATTGTGTGCTATAGCTCCGCTAATTGCATAGCTTTAGCGTTCTAATGGTGGTGCTATTTCAGATTTTGCCATCACTAATAGATTTTGACAATTTAATTTGTTATTTCCTACTTATCATTTGCTACTAATTTAGTATTTTGGATAATTAAACACTGGACTTTCATGTACCATGTTGTAATGTCATATTAGTAATGTTACCTAGACTTGTGGAACCTTAGAAACATATTTTTGTTCATCGAATTTTATATTTACCATGTTTTTTGCATCAATTATTGGTATTTTTCATGTTTTCTTTATAAAAACGTTATCTGTCATAGCGCCGCTATAGCACCGCTATAGCCTCATAGCTGTTGAAAAAAAGTTGTCGCTATTTTCAATAGCCCGCTATTTAAAACTATGGTTCGAGGTGCAGGCTGCTCCAGCCCCTGGCCCATCACCTTTGAGCTCGCCGGAGGGAGGAGGAAATAGGACCCCCAGAGCTCGCTGGAACCCTAGCCACCGCCGCGTCCCTCAGATCCAGAGGAGGAGGAGGACTCAGATTC